TCAGCAGGAGATGAGCAGAGCACCCACTGCCTCACCAGGCCTAAGCCAAAGCTATCAGATTGGAGCCAGACCAGCCTTAAACCCTGTCTCTCCTCAATTTAAGCCCTCAAGCCTGCAACCATTCGCTGAGCTGTTCCTGAGTGCCTGCCTAGGGTTGGCTATGCATAGACAGAGAGGAACATTATTTATTGGATGTACTAAAAGTTGTGCTCATAGCATGAATTCCCTGAGAGCCCTGAAAAATAAAGAAGACCCTATGTTCAAGCAGTTTAAAATCCAGAAGGGAAACAGGCAAGGCAACAGAGAGCTCTTAAAGTTGGTCCTATGGAGGTCCAAACAAAGAGTAGCTGGAGCGTGAGAGCCCCTCAGCCTGGAAATAAGTCCAGGAAAATTCAGAGAAAATATTCGCTCTGAGACCTAAGGGTGAGGAGGGCTTGCTAAGTGGATGAGGAGAGGAACAGCAGATATAAAGGCATGCAAGCTTGGAAACTGCAAGTAGGTCATTAATGCTACAATGGAGAGTGTGAGTGGAGAGTGCGGAAGATGAGGTTGGACTAGTGGGCATGGACCAGATCTTACAAGTCTTGTGCTGTGCTAAGAAGCTCAGATGTGGGATCATGCTGAGACTGCAGACATTTGAGCAGATTGAATGTGATCCAGTTTGCATTTCTGAAAGACAATTTTGGCTGCAAGAGGGATGGCTGAGGCAGGGAGCTCAGAGAAGAGGTAGTAAGTCTGAACTAAGCTAGCGGCAGTGAGGATAGAGAAAATATAGGTAGGAGTTGTTTAATGGGACTTGGTGATTAATTGGAAGTGAAGTGGGATGAAGAGCCAAGGATGACTCCCAGATTCCTGATCCAGGCTAATGAGTGGATAAGGAGGCCATTCACTGTCATGGAGAACACTGGGAACAGGTTGATACAAAATATAAGCTCATTTTGGTAAATGGTAAATTTGCACCGCTTGTGGAATATCCAAGGGGAAGTTGCTTTCTGCCGTCTGGATCTCAGAGACAGGTCTGGGTGAGTGACATATTGGAAGCTGTCAGTGTAAGAGATCCTTAAAAGTCACGGGAGTGACTAAGATCATCCGGGGAAGTGAAAAGATAAAGAAGAGCTCCAAAACTGGCAACCACCAGTGGTCCCTGCTCTCAAAATACTCTCCCTCATTCAGCGGGGGATCCAAACCCTGAAGAAAGCCTTATAATACAAGGGAGACTGAACTCTATACTTTAATGAGGGATAGTCAGAGAATTTGGAGCTCAGGATGTGGAGGGGTCCTAGGCTAACTTGGCCTACTGAGCTTGCTTCTGGTTAATTCAGCTGCCAGCATAAAAGGAGAACCAAGCTGCAGTTGTGAGATCTAACCACGAGGTGGCGCCTCAGCATCTCCTTGTGCCAGATTTCCCCAACCCTGCTCTCAGCCAGGCCCAGAGCAGGAGGTTGTCAAAAGCTGGAAGGAAGGTGGTTGTGTCAACCATAAAAAAGGGAGGCCTGAGTTTTTTCTTAGCATAAAGTGCAAATGCAAGCTCACTTTTTGAAAAGAGAGAGGAAGATTTGAGCCTGGGGGGAAAGCAATATGCCCAATATGTCAAATGGGAGTCTATGTATGTTTGAACATGGACACCTATGTGTCAACATATATCCTGTGTTCCCATGTTGTATGTGTGTTTCCCAGGAGTATCTCTGTGCAGATTGTGTGCCCCACGTGCCCAGGGTGACTACAAGTATACCACATGCACATCCCAGGACTCCAGCTGTGTGCATGTGCCACAGAGAGTGGGCAGCCTGCAATCTCTACCTCTATGCCTCAGAGAGTAAGAAGTTCCTTGGCTCTGAAAAACAAGGACAACAGAGTCTGCAGCCATAGGACCCTGAAGTTTTTAGGAGTTCCCCAAAAGCAGCAGCAGGCCATGGAGAACATCCCTCTCCCCAGTAGCCATAAGCAAAATAACTTATCAGATTATTCTCCTCAGATTATATCTGAGTTTTATGTCTAGCTACCCAAAGTCATGATCGCATGGAGGCTTCATAATAGATCCCTCAATAGACTGAGGGCTTTATAAACTTATTCATTCATTATTTCTTTAATAAGCACTCATTGAGCACCTGCCAGGCACTAAACCCAACCCAGGACACATTTTCTGTTTCTCTTTTCATCTTCTTGTGACGTAGTTCATGAGGCAGGAAATACAAATTAGTTGCAGCTACAAAGAGCTTGCAATGCTGGCTAGAATGTTGAAGATGGGTCATGGGAAGCCCCAGGTGAGTTTTCAGTAGGGAGGTAACATGGTCTAGTCGTTCTTGTTCCTAAATGGAATTGGAATGGGATCAGAAGACATATGGACGAAGGTGGGGGATCAGTTAGGGGGTCTGCAAAGGTGTAGGCAGTGGTTTTCAGACTTTATGGTGCTTCTGACTCACCTTACAGACTTATTAAAACACAAATTGCCAGGCCCCACCTTCCAAAGTTACTGATTCAGCATATTTGGAGTGGGGTCCAAAAACTGGCACTTCTAACACGTTCCCAGGTATTGTAGGTGATACTGGTCCAGGGACCACACTTCAAGAACTACTGATCTATGAGAAGGAATACGGTAGTTTAAGGTGCTAACAGAGGTGCGGAGAGAGATATTAAGGGTTAGAAATGACAACAGGATGAATAGCTTATGGGGGGAGGGGAAGGTCAGAGACTGGGATGATTCTTATTTTTAATTTGAAGGATGGTGGTGCCATTCATGGAACTACAGAACACAGGGGGAGAAGCAGATTGTTGGTGGTGGTAGGGGTGGAGGAGATGTTGAGTTCAGCTTTGGACTTGAAAGTTTCAGATGCTGGCAACAAGATGTCTGGAGGAAATAGCCAGCTGGCAATTGTATCTGTGAGTCTGGATTTCTAGTGAAAGATACAGACTGAAGATAACAAGGTTGGGAGATAACAGTGGACATGTAGACATTAAAGTTTTGAGAAGTGATGAATTCACTCGAGAAGATTGTAGATAGAAAAGGTAGAAGCTTCAATTCTGAGGACGAATAACTGACATTAAGGATGTGAGTGAAAAGAAAGGAAATAGAAAAGAAGACTGAGAAGTGGCCAGCGTAGAAAGGAGGAGAATAGGCACAAAAGGTGTATCTTAACTGCAGAGAAGTAGGGTGAGGAAACCCAAGGAAGCAACTGGACAGGCAGTGCATCCTGTCACTCTGGTTTTCCAAGCCTGTGGGAGACAGCAGGGGATCTCCACAGCTGGCTACAGGCATCGTCAGCCATGTTGCTCCTGGACTTATCTCAAAGAGGTCCACCAACTCGCACAACATGCATCGACATATTCACCTGTCCCAGAGCCTGCCTTCTGGTGTCTTATGGCTGAAGTTGAGGGTAGGGGTCTCACCACAGACTCACACACCCATATATATATAGAGAGAGAGAGACACACACACACACACACACACACACACAAACATACATACTCCTCACCTCTGATCTGTCCTGGGAACAGTTCTTGCAAAACCGCCCAGTTCAGCTTCATCCACTCTCTAGCTAGTGATTCCAGCTTCCGGAAAGTTCTTAGTGATGAATCCTTGGCTGCTGTTAGCCTCCTCCTTTCTCCACAGTCCCCCAGCCTGACATGACCCAGAACTGAGCTCAGCACGTGCCATGTACCTCTGGGAGACTGCCTTACTATCTCCTCCACATACATTCCATGAGTTAATGGTGCCCTTTCTCCTCTAATCTATCTCAATATTTTTACCTTTACATTCTCATCTTCTACTTCACTAGAGGTCTAAGGGAACATCTAGTCCTCTCTGCCCTCCTCAACATTTTTGTTGTTGAAGTTGCAGAAGCTGAGATCAGAGAGGAAAAAGGACTTGCCCAGGATCATAGGTCAATTGAAGCCAGAACTAAATTCTAGGCACCTGAGTCTAGGGCAACACAGACCAGGAATTCTGAACACAGGATGGGGCTAGAGACAAACTACCCCAGCTCTGCCACTTAACTGTTTGGCTTTGGGCACGTCAGTTCACCTCTCTGTGCCTCATTTTCCTCACCCGAGAACGGAGATGATAAGGGTATCTGTCTCATAGGGCTGCTGTGAGGGTTAAATAGCTTAATTGTCATCAAGCACTTAGCACAGAGTCTGGCACACTCTGTAGTACTTGCTGTGACTATTTCTACTAAGCTGTGGTCTGAGCATTGCCTGCTTTTTTTTTTTTTTTTAACACCTTTCTTCTGCTTTCTTAGTTCTCATTCCCCTTAGCATTCCTCTCATTTCCCCTTCTTTAGTCCCTGTCCCAGCTTCTCAGGAGGGGAGGGTTGGGTTTGAGGAAGAAGTAAGATGGAGTGACTACAGAGACTGGAACATGCTTGAAAGCCAGCCAGTGCTGTTACACAGCCTGTGCCTGTTAGTGTAACGATCACATGCGGTCCACACAGGGTCAGTTACACTGAGATGCACTCAACAGGCCCACACTCATCAGCCTAGGCCCTATGGCTTCAGAAACATCTCGAGCCCTTCTCAGGTGGAACTCATGCCCAACCCCAGACCCGGGCAACTCTCTCTGTCTGGCCAGATTGTGTCTCCAACTTCCTCAGACCCTTGCTAGGTGCTGAGAGTTAACAGCCTAGGGAAGCCTGAGATAACTGGGCATCCGCAGAGGTGCTTTGATCCAGAAACAAAGACTGTGATGGCCCCCTACCAACACACACACACACACACACACACACACACACACACACACACGCACACACTGCCACACGCGTGCATATGAGCCGGTGGGCTTGAGTCTGCAGCTCACAAATTTCTACCACATTCACGATCACCGATCTCGTCTGTTCTCTGGGTAAGGTGGTTAGGGAAAAGACGGATACAGTCAAGGAAGCTGAGGTTGAGGAATGGTGGTGCTTTGCTCAAAGGCAAAGAAGCAATAGAGCCAAGATGCAAACCTAGGGACCCTAGGTCTAAGCCTCGAATCCTTTCCGTTTCACCGCAACTGGGATTCTTGGAGCCAAGAAGAAGACGGAGACCTTCCGGGGTTGAGTTCACGCCCCGCCTCCTGCTACCCACCCCAGGGGGTCGCGCCAAAGCCACGCCTCCCCTTGAGCAGCCGCTGGGGAGGAGGGAAAAGCAGCCACAGCGTGTCTCTTTAATGCGCGCCCCCGAAGGCCCGGCGCGCCCCCGCCACTATAACTGGAGTGCATGGAGCAGGCTGCGCTCAGAGGAAGGAGGGCGGGCGCTAGGCACCCGTTGACTGACTTTTCCAAGTGCTATTAGCGCCCATCCGTCCCACATCCCGCCCCTATGGACTCGCCGGGGGGGACCCATAGTTGAGAACCCGACGCCTGCTGGGCTCCGGGCTGGGTTGAACCCCGCCGCAGCCAAGTGACCCCTGCGGGCTGGGCAGGCTCCCGCACCTCTTCCCGCAGCGCTGGCCGTCGGGCAAGGGCTTCCTGGCCGCCCCACGCTACCCGCCCCATGCTGGTGCACACTTACTCCCCCATGGTGAGTAGTCTCGGGTCCGGGGGCGCGGGGACATCAGGAAGCCTGAGTCGTGGACCTTTCGAACCTCCTCCTCCAATGAGATCTCGGAGGGAGGGGGCCACAGGGAGTCCGCGAGCTGAAAATGGTGCGCACAGAACACCGCTGTCTCCAGCCCGAGGCTCCTGCGCCCGCGGGTCACTCAGAGATAGACCTCGGGCCCTGGGAAGCGGGTAGGACGGCAGCTGGACTCTCGCGAGCTGTCCAGGAGGAGGGTCCTTTTGGGCTGGGCTCCTTTCAGCCGCCGGTGGGTCGCCTAACGCGCCCCTCTCCTTCCCCAGGAGCGCCCCGACGGGCTGGGCGCAGCGGCTGGCGGGGCCCGCCTGTCATCTCTGCCCCAAG